CTAAGTATAAGAAGGATAACCCAAGAATTGTATTGCCAGACAAGTTGTCCTTCAGTAAAAAGGCAACAGAGAGACATTTTCAAATGTGGATGGACTTGGGGACTATCATGCTCATGCACTTTCTAGAAAATTCTTTGACAACAAAATGATGAGTCAGAATTCAGAACTAAGAAATGAAGAAGCTATGGTAAAAGCATTCCTGGTGAGTATTGGCTCATACTGAATTAAAACTGAACAGCTCTGAAAATGATGCTTATGGAACAGAAACCTTGACAATGTAATATTAACATAAATAACCAAAACTGGTACTTGGGAGGAAGTATGAGTGACTTAATTTGCTTCACTTTATAATACAGAGTGGGTTTGTCAGTAGCTACAGTCTGAAATTGAAATACATCATTTAAAAAAAGAATGATTTCAGCATCCTAATGTTTTCCTTTATTTTTTTCCTTAACTTTAGAGGGATCTTTTAGAAACTAATATCTCTTGTGAAGACCCATTCATCTGAAGTTCTACAGTTTCTTCAGTTTCACCTCCGTTTCCATCTCCCTGTTATATTCAAGTAAAATTTATACTCCATACTTTTCAATTACAATGACTCGTGTGGTATGACCCCATTTATATGTATCCTTTACCGCCCCTTCCCTCCAAGTCACACTTCTGTTCTTTCATTCTTTTATCTTTTCATCTGAATATAAGAAAAATATGTCTGGAATGATGTCTGCCACATATTAACGATGTTTATTGTTGGGTAGAGGGATCCTAGGTGATTTTTAAAATCTTCTTTGTATTTCTTATATTGCCTGGCCTTAAAAAATAATAAATACATCATTTTTTTTCAGAAATAATGAAGTCATTCTTCTTTTAAGAAATTAAGGGTAACGTGGCTGCGAAACTGTGCACGTTTACAAACAACAGGCATTGACCAGCATGATTTTGTAGAATCTCACCTTATTCAACAGTTTCTGTTTGATAAGCATTTCTTGATAAGCAAAACACCGTGCTAGCGGGATTAGGAGATACAGAAATGGACCTTGACCTACAGAAATGGAACCTTACCAATCTGTCAGGCTCTGCATTCGTGCAAGGGTGGTCCCTGGACCAGCAGCATTGGCACCACCTGGGAACTTGTTAGAAGTGCAGAATCTTAGGCCCCTCCCCAGACCTGCTGAATTAGAATTGGCAGTTTTATAAAGTATCTAAGTGATCTGAATGCACACATGTTTTAGAAGCACTGTTCAATGATCACCTCTTATTCTGGAGGAATGAAAGGAGAACTGCTTTATCTGCATATGTGAGAAAAGACAAGAATTGACCAACACAGTGATCTGACCACCAAAACCGCTCATGCAGTTTTAGGCTCCATTATTTAGAGTCTCTCTTTGCTCCTTGGGTCGTACCTTTAGCCCAGTGCTGGCTTCCAGACTTTTAAAAGGATCCAGACAAACTGACACCGTCTCCAAGTATCTGAACAGGCTGGCGAAGAGATTTCAAACCCTGTCATATAAGGAAGCGTTGAAGGGACTGGAGTTTATTAATGACGTCAATGATGACAGCTTCAATAATAGTGAAGACTTACTGAGTACTTACTACGTGCCTGGAACTGTGCTAAACAATTCCACATTAGAGCATTTCATCTTCACAACAGCCTTTATTTACCACCCCTCATATGTAGATGAGGAAACCAAAGCTTAGGTAAAAAATTTACCTGAGATCACACAACTAGCAAGTGGTAGAACCAAAGAATTTAAACCATAGGAGATGAGTTTAAATATTTGAAGGGTTGGCAGAAGGAAGAAGGATAAAGATTTATTTTATTAGTAGAACCAAGATCAATGGGTAGAAGTTACTGGGAGACAGTTCTCCATTGAGTAGAAGGCCATCTAGTCTTCTTTAGCAAAGAGGGGGTTTTCTTTTCTGGTTGCCTCTCTCCCCACTTCACTCTTTCTGTGGGACTTGAGCTGTGCTGCTTCAGAACTGGCCGGATTGGACAGTTCTTCCTCGTCCTCATCTTCTTGGGCCTGTTAATCATTCTTACCTATGCAACCTGCTGGACCTTGTGAGAGCATATTTTCTCTCTCTTCTTCCTTTGGACTCCTCTTCCCCTTTCTGTCCTTTACCCATAACTATCTGACAAGGCCATGTCCTGAGATTCTAGTCTTCAAGCCACTCTTCTGATGACTCTGGTCCCAGTGTACTGCTTTGACCTCCTTTCCTGATTTCCACATCTCCTTTGCCAACACTTTATTTTTTATTAGAAACTCGACATGGCAAAACCCAGACTTGCTTTACCTTTCAAACTGTTCTATTCTCTAACCTCTCATTTCTGTTATGGTAGCTCTGCTGTCCTGTTCCTCCAAGGCAGCCTTCTCTTTCTTCTGCCTGAAATCAACCACCAAATCCTATCAATTTTCATGTATAGGAGCTCCTGAATTTGTTCCTTCTCCTCCAGTCCCACTGTCACCCTCAAAAAATTAGTCCTTGTTACCTCCCTCCAGGTCTCCTAAATACTCTTATCATCACATAGCTCCAAATCTCATCATTTCTTTGTATAAGAACCTAGGACAGTTCCTTATTGCCCATCAGACTGGGTCCATTGATTCAGCCCAAAGTTTCAGGCAGCTGTTCCCAATACCTCCCAGCAGAAACCTATTCCTAACTTGCTGGCCCTGTGCAATTACCCCCTGCCCTGAGCACCCCCACTGCTCATGCCCCTCTTTACCCTCACTCATGCTACTCTGCTCCTGAGAGTAGTGTTGTCATGTGCTAGTTCAGCTTTTGTTCTTTTAAGGCCCACCTTGTGGTCTACTTCTCCCTCTCAGTAATCACTTCCTTCTCAGCATCTCTCTGTTCCTTGTAACCTGCTGAATTTCACATTCAAGTACTTGATTAGAGACTCCATTGGAATTTTCCATTAAAAAAAAGTTACTTAGTTTCTCAAAGTAGATCTGCAACTTCTGGGTAACACCTTGTATGTTCTCTCTCACAGTGACACTCAGCCCTGGGCTGCTCAAGGCAGGTGCTCCTAGACTTGTAACAAAAGAAAAAAATATCGACAATTTATTAAGTTCTTCAAATGTACCAGTCACTCTACTCAGAAGAGATATTGCTTTCATTTTAAGAAAAGGAAACTGAGGCCAAGAGTTAAGTAACTTGCTCAAGGCCATGTGGCTGATAAGAGTTGGACCCAGGACTTGAACCCAAGTAGTTTGGGTCCAGACCCTGCACACTCAACCACTGTACCATGATGGTCACATGGAGGGTTAGTGAATACCAATCCTGTGCTCTTCTTTGAGAACCAGTAGGACCCAACACTGTCAAGATTTGATATATGATAAGAAGGACCCTTCTTCCCCCTCCCCCACCCCACCTCACCCAGAATGGACATACACAAATGTGGTGTTTAGAGAGGCAGCCTCATCACAGCCCTGTCCTCAGGGAGGGAGGGTGGGTCAGGGACTTGAAAAAGCCATTGGATGCAAACTCTCCTGCTTGATTTCAGTAGCTGTTTAGGACAATAGTGATAAGAAGGGCTTGCCTTTATGAACCTCCATCTCTTCTGTTATTTCTAGGTGTGGTAAGTTGGGGAACTTCCTTGGCCTCGCACCCTACCATACTTTTGGTATTTTGTCTTTTCATGGAGGTTGATCTCCTTTATTTCCATCTTCTTTGAGATGTGCTCCATTTGCCTCTCTGCTCCCAGGGTATTGACAGAGAGGATCCCACCCCCATTTCCTTCCTTGATTGACCAGGATATCTCGCTACCAGATCTGTGTTGTCACTGTGTATAAAAATAAAGCAATTATTTCAGAGTGTTAAATATTAAGACCCTTTTTTGAAGATTAACTCAATCTTTTCTCTATTGTACGATAAAAGAAAGTGTTAAATCAAGTTTTTTTTTTTTAAAGAAAGTTTACAGAAAAAGTGATATTTGGAGAAACTAATCCTTGGGGCAGTAGTAAAGGCCAACGGCCAAGACGCTGAACTGAATATTCAATGGAGATCTCACTACACAGGAAGCAGGAGCAATGGACAGACATATGGATGCTCATGGGTGGCCCTGGCCATGTGTGTGCTTTCTTTATGATTTTTGTGGCAAATACTATATTTGATGGCAAAAATGAAGTTTTGTTGTAAAACTTACATTGTTATTTTCTTGGTGTTTTTTTTTTAACCTTGGAGTTTTGTATATATATTTCAAAGTCAGTAATTTTAAGTATCAGCTCTAGCTAAGGAGAAGTTATGTCCTTCATAGACCATCATTACACTGTATATAAACTTAAAAATACCAAAACCCAAAACAAACCCAGGCACATAATCCTTCTGTTGGCCAGCCACTACATCTTCATTTGGAACACAAAATATTTGCCATCTTGGGACTGCCTGAATTTATCTTCCTTTTTTTTTTAACTACTTAAAGTGCTTCTTTAAAAAAACATTTTTTAGAGAATATCAGTTTAATTAATTTTGAAATGGAGACAAGAGACATAGTGAATTGATGGAAAGAGCGGGGAACTGGAAATTATGAGACCTGAGTTCCAAATCTGACCCCACTGTGTGATCCTGGGCACATCTGCCCAATTAGGGAACAGTTTTCTTGTCTGCAGCGTGAGTGAGAGGGCTCTCCAGCTCCTAAACACTACGCTTTTGTGATTCAAGCATACCAGAGTTCTTTCTTTTTGTAACAGTGACCTCTTGTGGTATGGATCCTTCTTCCTTTTTTTGATTTGCAAAGTAAACTTTGGATTTATTTTGTCGTCATTGTTATTTCTAGTAAGTACATTTCATATTGTTAAGTGAATCCGACTTGTTTTTAGCAGATAAATCTTAGCTGGAAATCAGAGGTTGATTAAAATGTGATATAGAGCACCAAACTCCATTTCATACACAATTCCCTGCAGTTTCTTCCGAAGTTGTATTTAGCTGACTCTTGACACTTAAAAAAAGAGAAATGCTTTGGTGTTTGTGCTGAATGTTGTGTATATTCCTCTTCCTCCCAGGGACCAGGGGAAGAGGTGTTCGAGGGCCTCCTCATGCCCTAGCAGCTCAGACCAGAGCAGGCTGGACACCAAAGCAGGTGAGGTGTCCGTGTTCTGAGAGGTCCCCCAACACTCCTTCATCTTATCCTCAGCATCTCCATCTGTAGGAAAATCTTTTGCACAAAAGATGTCTGATGTTGGCTCACTGTTTGGAAATTCTAGGAACTTTGTCCAACTTACACATCAACTTTTGTTTTTATAAATTTTTATTATTTTGACAGCAGTCTTAGCACTTTTACCTTTAGCCTGGCTCTAGTGCCTCAAACATCTAAAATTACAATCTTAATGACTGCGCAGACATTATTTTGTAAAGGCATTCAGAAGGTTGCAAAAAGTAGTTCTGAAGTTCAAAACTTGAGTCAATACCGTGGCTCACTTAAAGGAAACTGTATTAACTATGTGAAGCCAGCCCTCTGTGGCTTTAAACTGTTTGAGAAAATATAAATCACAGACTAGAAATGCTGCCAAATGTGTTCGTGCAATGGAATGTTGCAGTTAGAAAAGTGAACTTGAGTACATTTATAGTATTGAATGAAATGAGTACAAACATAACATTACATGAAAAAAATTAAGTTTGAAAAACAATGGCATGTGGTGTTTATGGATACAATTCTCTGTGGTAGACGTGTAAAGTGAAGCATGTAAAAGAGAAAGAACCACTCGATTTAGAGAGATGGTAACCTTCGGGGAGGGGAACACAGAGGGCACTAACTATGTAACGTTGATCTCTTTGAAATAAGGAGGAGCATGAAAATACAGTTAATATTTGCTTAAACTATTTGTGGGTACACAGGTGTTTCTTATATTCTCTGTGTATATATACTATATATATATATATATATATAGGTGTGCATGAAATTTTATGAGACCAAACTAATAGTTCAGAAATATATTTAATGATCGTCAAAACTAATTTCTTGTTAATAAAATGACTTTTGCGACCAACAGGAATTTCTGTCGTACTCAGGAAAATCTTAGACTGATTTCTGCATCAGCGCTGTTGCTAAGTGTTTTACATGTACGTGCTAAAAACAGCAGCCAATAAACATCGTGTCAAGTTTTTGTGTCCAAAATTCAAAGCTGCGGTTAAGAACTATAACCACTGAGACAGCAGAATCTTCAAAAACATGCTGAAATTTCTGCCTGACTTACCCAATTTCCTGTTGAATCATAATTTTTATATTTAGCAAACTGTGAACCTAGACGAAAGTGCTTTCTAAAATATTAGACTGTTGCCCAAGACTGAGGCAAACTTTATCATTTGTGCAGCTTAAGAAGTAATCACGTGATTCTAGGCTTTGGTTTCCAGAGTAGAAGCCGGATTAGGGTATGAAGTGGGATTTTTGCAGAGAGCAGAGTTGGAGGATACACAGCTGTTCCTGGGAGAGGGTTAAAAGCAAACCCTTACACCACAGTGTCCGGCTAACTTCTGTTCTGAGAAGAAACAAGTCTTAGAAACATTCAGAAGGGCCTGCGAGGGCCTTTCCGTTCCAAAGGCTAAATAAACTGCTCTGTGATTTTTAACTCACCCTGTAATTCAGCAATTCCTGGGGTGAACGTGTTATCTGTTTCGTTTGTCCTGAGAAACAGTTTGATAATTGTGGTTTCTCATAGAGCTGTTCTACTAAAGAGTGTGCTGCATGGAAGTTAAAAATACTGATTTGAAGCTTTTAGGCTGGAAGTCAGTATTTCTAATCAACTTAAGTGTGTCATAAATATTTGTCGGTTAAATTATTTGCCTGGCTTATTATTGCCTGGGCTTTTCCCTTGCCTCGATATAGGTTGATTTTATTCACTTACTTTGGATTTTGAATGTGTCCGTTACCTGGGAATATAACCAACCATGTTTTCTGTACTGTACTGTACTGTTTGAATACTCATGTTTACTTTTTGAATTCTTATCTGTAATTTATCCATGTTAGGGAAGACTTGTAAAAGTAATGATCCAAAAGATGGTTTACAGCCCTTAGTCTACAGTTCTGAAATCCCAGAAGCTCTGAAAGCTGAATTTTTATTCAAACTCATTTAGTGGCCATGCTTGACCAGGACCTGATGGGATACCAACAATAGTCCTTGTTTCATTAGTGTGAATATCCAGCAGGGTGCTGCCCCAGAAAACCCCACTGGTGGTGCTGTGTAATATGCAATGTAGGCACCATCCTGCCTTACTCAAATTCAGGTTTTTCTCAGTCCCCAACCACATCTGGCCCCAAAGACTTGGGTAAGGGATTGTGAAACTGTACTGCTATGGACTGATTTTGTCCTAAAGACAGTTCAACTGTGTGTTATGGTGAAGTCTTGTTTATGGGTCCAAAAGACTGTGTGTGACCTCACTATAAAATTATTGACAGCACCTGCACTGTTTAATGACAGCTTTGCTGACATCCTTTCCATCTGCTTTTGCTGCTCAAGTGCTCTTCATGCCCAGTGTGTGTCGTTCCCTCTTGGTATTAGGAAGTTTTGATAAAAGGCAGACCTGGACTCACCATACCTTGGGGTGGTGGTCTCCAACACGGAGCACGTCAGGGGAAGGCCTGTGCACTGGGTGGGGTGGCTTTCCTGCTTCTCCTGGGTGGCGTCATTACCGCACACTTGGAAAATTTAGTATGTGTTGTATATATATATATTTTTTATCTTTAAGAATAATACAACTGCATGAGAAGTCTTGGAAAATATAAGAGCACATAAAAGAAATTAATATCCCATAATCCCAATAGTCTGGTGATGATCACTGTTACCCCATTTTACAGAGGAAAAGTGAAGCAGCTTCCTCAAAGTCAGCTAGTAGGTGACAGAGCTAGGACTCAAACCCAGACAGTGACTTCAGAACTGGTGCTCTTAACAGGTCTTCCTGGTCAGCTTGTCTTGGTTTTTTGTCAAAATAACTTAAAAATATACAGGCCACACACCCTCTCTCTAGTCTCTCTGTCTCTGTGGAACCCTCTGATTGTCCCTATGATTTTTTCTAACTCTCCACATGACATTTTTAGGGTCCTGGCACCCTCTGTGTGGGTACTTAATTGGTACCAGGTCCGCTGTGTGCAGGCACAGACTCCCTGAATCAGTAAAGGCGGGGTACTGAGTGGGGGCTTTAAAGGGTGGACTTCAGAGAAGGAAGGCCGAGGGTTCCATCTCTAGCTCTGCTCCCAAGTGCCCCCGCACGTCAGTGCCCCCTCCAGCTGTACTGTTTTAGATCTGGAGATCTTGCCTGTGTGAAACATGATCATGATTTGCAGTTTCTAATATGAGTTACATTTCTCCCCAGAGTTACCTTTTAGTTTGCCAGTTAGCTGCAGGGCAGAATAGCGTAGAGGTCAGGTGCAAGGGCTGTGGACCTCTATGACCTTGGGTAGGTCACAGTACCCTGGAGTCCCACTTTCTTCATCTAGAAAACGGGGACAACTTGGGGACCTCCTGTAGTGTTGTGACAGAAATTAAACACAGGTCTGCTGGCTCTGAAGTACGCAGGCTGTGGGAGCTATTACTCTTCTCCAGCCTGTGTTCCCAGGCAGCATCTCCTCTCCCCAATCCAGTGAAATCTTACAGCCCAATACACATCAAACAGTAGTGCCCTGTTTGTTGGTTTTTCAATCAGGGAAGTGAAATTCATATTTATGGGGTGTCACTAGACGCTAGGCACTGGGCTCAGAGCTTTGCCTATATCATGTCTTTTAATTCTCATAACCCTGAAGGCAAATATATTAATCTCTGTTTTGCTGATGAGGCTCAGAAAGGATAAGAAACCAGACCCCCGTCACCCAGTGCGTCAATAATGGAGTTGGGATTTGAATTGAGATCTGTCAGCACCCAGAGCTCAGTCTTTTCCCACAGCCCCACACAAAACCACCAGCGTGGACAGTGCTGGCCCCACAATGATGTGGACATTTTATGTTCTATAGGAAAGTCCCTACAGGCCTCCCTTTTAGAAAAATTTTCATTAAACATTTTCAAAGTCCTTATTCTTTCTATACATCTGTAGTTTTCTATTTATTCTACATTACAGAGGAATACATTTAAGTTACAAATGCAAACAGTACAAATTGGTTGCCTCACTGACAACAATTTCAGCATTTACAAAGCAAAAGCCTTTATGCAGTGTTCCAATCAGAGTTTAAAGTTCTGATTTCTTTACATTATCTTATTTGAGTTTCATTCGGGTGTGATTTGATTAGAAGACATGTAGTTCTAAATAGAATTAGTTGGGCTTGGGGGGAAATGCATAATTTAATTCTAGGGTTTATTACTTTTGTGGGTGAATAACAGACTAGTGACAGTGCTTCAGTTTCAACTCCTTTTTCACAGTTCTTTCTCCTGTTCTGGGTTTCCTTTGCAGGTTCAAAGGCTGACTTGCAAGAAAAGGATACAGAAATAGAAGTAAATGAAGTGTTTTGGAATACAAGGATCATACCGATTTTGCGTGAATTAGAAAAGAGTAAAAAACTTTTTTTTGTTTTAAATCAAAAATATCTATTATTTATATGTTCCTCGTTGCCCTGATATTTTCAGTACACTTGGACTATCATTTATGTGAATGTATTCAGAAACAAATGAAGTCATCTATTGATTTACCCAGTAATGTATGTTTTAGATATTATATGTAAACCTGATTTTTAGTGAGTATAGTTATATAGCAGCAAGAGAGCCTACTGCTAAAATGACCACCTCCTCTGCCCAAGGAAATGCCAGTCTGAACTCCCTACTGTGGCACTTCATGCAAAACAGTGAACAAGACAGGTTTCAGGCCTTTGAAACTTTGTCTAAGTCTCATAGACTGGCATCCTTGGCAGGTGTGCCCATGATTTTCTAGATCCAAATGTATACGGTCGGCCCTCCATATCTGCAGGTTCTACATCCATAGGTTCAACCAACTGCAGGTGGAATTTTGATCCGTGGTTGGCTGAAATCATGGGTGCAGAACCTGCAGACCAACTATATGCAGGGCCAACTATCCTACACTATTTTATACATCTGTGGATTCTGTTATATGCCGGCATCCTGGAACCAATCCCCTGTGGATCCTGAAGGAGGACTGCATGTTCTGTTTTTCTAAGTTTGAGTGTACATATCAGAGATGCCACTCAGAGCAGGAAGTAGCCTGGGATGTGTCCAGCCCTTGCCCTCCAGAACACCCCAGCAATGAAGGCCCACAATCCATGAGTCTCTGCCAGAGTGACCTATGGAAGGCTTGTCAGGGGAATGTCCCTCCACCTTCTGTCCCTTTGCTGCTCCTCAGGGATTCCATTGTTGAAGCTGAAACAGGTTCCCCTGGAGCGGTAGTCCTGGCCCCAGGGTCAGATCCGGTGCCTGACCCGTCTGACCCATAGCACACATTAGGTCCTCACTAGCAACTGGAATAAGTATTCCTTACATGAGTGAACCAGCATGGCAGCCACAGGGATGAAGCCCTAGGAGAAGCTAGGTAGTGAGTCCTTCCCACTAACCAAACAGGGAAGTTGTACAAAAGACCTACTTCCTTAAATGTTCAAATGACCTCACCCCTCCTGGGCTCTCTGATGGTGCGTGGTGGTGTTCATGGTTAGAGTGAGAGCCCTGGACAGGGTTTCTGGTCCTGGTGCTGCTAACCAAGCAAATGGCCGTGGGGAATCACCTAACCTGTGTGTGCAGTAGTGTCCTTGCCTGCCAGGTGAGGCGTGGGTGAGGCTAGATCATCACCAAAGTCCCTGGCAGCTCGAAACCCTGAGAACAAGACCAGGATGACTTTGTCCTCTCTAGAGCCAATCATGTTTGCCCTTGTGTTAGTGAACCTAGTTAACTTTGGGTCTTTATTTTAGGAGATGTGCATAAAAACTAATGAGAAGAGCAGTCAGTCTGGGCAAGGGTTAAAGAAGAAAACATACTAGGAACAGCACCACAGGGAGAACAGGGGGCAGCACAAAGGCCTGTCTTGGAGAAAGGCTTCAGCCTGAAGGATTTCAAGAGGTCTCTGCAGGCTCTCACCGCAGGCACCAACAGAGGAAACTTATCAGGAGTTGGGGATTTGAAATGTGGTTGGCTGACTCTTTGAGATTTTTTTCTTCTTTTTTTTTTTTTTTTTACTTTTATTTTGACGTAATTTCAGACTTACAGAAAAGTTGCAAGAATAGTACAAAGAAATCTTGCATGTTCTTTCCTCAGATTCCCCAAATATTAACATTTTACCACATTTGCTTTATCCTTCTCTATCCCCCTTCCTCCCTCTCCCTCTTGCTCTCTTTTTCACTATACACCCCATAACACACACACATTATTTTTTTCTCCCTTTTTTGAACCACTTGAGAACAAGTTGCCATCATGATGCCCCATATCCCTAAGTACTCTGATATTTTTAGAAACGTGGGCATTCTGTTGTATATCTGGAAATTACCATATAATTCTTAAAAAACCTTACTCAGATTTTGCCAGTTACCCTAATAATTTCCTTTACAGAAAGAGAAAATCCCGGGTCCAATTATTTGTCATGTCTTTTTGTGATCTTGACATATTTGAGGAGAAGGGGCCAGTTATTTTGCAGACTGCCCCACAAGTTGGGTTTGTCGGGTATTTTCCCACCATTAGATGCAGGTTAGGCATCTGGGGCAGGTGCACAGCGTAAGTGGTGCCATGTCCTTCTCTGTGCCTCATAACAGGAGGCGCATGATGCTGATTTGGCCCATTAGTGGTAATATGAACTTTGATCACTTGGGGAAGGTGGTATCTGCCAGGTTTTTCCCCTGTAAAGTTACTGTTTTTCCCTTGGTAAGTAATAGGTATCTGATGGGGAGAAGATACTTTGAGACTTCGTTGCTTTCTGTTACTCATCAAACTTTCACCCACTAGCTTTAGCCCTTTGAGAGTCTCCATAGCTCTTAGATTCAAGTTGTCTTTTGAGGCTACGTGGCATTTGTAACAAACCAACTGGTAGAAAGAGCTAAATTAATCAATAGTTTGCCATTTGACCTGTGAGCCTTCCTTTTTAATTTCTTTTAAGCTAAAAACAGCTACTCTTGAGTAGAACCCACCAGGCTGAAGCGTCTGTGGCAGGAAGTGTTAGAAGAATACCTTGAAGCCCACCCGCCGCTGCAGAGAAGCCCACAGCCTGGACTTGGGGTTTGCGAAGAAACTGCCAGTAACAGAAGAATAAAACAACGAAACAAAAGTATTTCTTACAATAGAGCTCAGGTTTTCCCCTTTATTTAAAGTTAGTCTAAGTCATTTCCCATCAATTCATTTATTTAAGTGCATAACTGAAAGGCACTGAAGGTTACTTGACTATTGAGGTTTAAAATTTTTTCTTAGATGTTATTGTTGAAAAGAGCTAAAAATGGCCTGAGTCATTTCCTTCTGCAGGCGCACACTTCCTGTATGCGGGCTTTCAAGAGCACATTATGGTATTTATTTAAGATTGGTTTCCTACTTTTAAATTGTGTGATGGAGTCTCTCAGAGATAATATTTTTCAACCGAATGCCCTACACCTTGGATTATTAGGTTTCCTTTTGTGGTCTAGTCTGTGTGCTCCTTTTCTCCCTTGCATGCCTCTGAGGGTGGCTACCACTCTCAAAAACTCCTTTCCTCAGAATTCTGATTCTAAAATGAATGTTCTGAGTCTGCCCCGTTTCCTAACTAAAGTCTCTTTTTCATTCTCTTCTTTGCTTACCCCTACCTCCAAATAATGGTGGATGTGGTGACATTTTGAGATTTTTGTTCCACCTGGGCCCTCTTTTCTCAGATAAAGAGCATTATTCTCATAGGGAAATATTGATCATTGTTTTCATCAATAGATAAATTAGAAAATGAATACATACTGATTTTGTTACAGGCTGTCAGTACAGTCCTCTCAGTGTACCACGCACTGTACAAAGACACGTAAGACTCACTTAGCATGGCGTCTGTTTGAGGGCACTGGACATAGAACCCAACATGCATGTATTTGTGACAAATAACCATGCAAGGTAATGTTCGTTGACTGTGGCATGTTACATCTTTCCTGGAGGAGCCAGAACATACACAGAGCCTTGAAGGACCAAAATCAGTAGGGATGAGGTTAAGGAGAACATTCTGGGCCAGTGGAGCTGTGCAGCCGAGGATTGAAGGTGGAGACACAAGGGAATGCTTCCATGACATTGAACAGAGCCTCTGTGGAGGTGGAGGGTGTTTGGAATAAAGGAGACCAGCTGAGCTAATGCAGTTCCACCCTTGAATACGCTCTTCAAAAGACTGTGTTCTAGATAAGCTAACTGATTAGTAAATGGTAGATGGAGCAACAAAATGAAAAAAAAAAAAAGGAAATGAAAATGGTAGATGGAAATGATAAGAAAGGGGGGGAGGAGGGACAAGGGTTCAGGAATTTGAAGCGGTCCGGGGAAATGATTCTGGGGTTTTACTTACACTGTCTGTGTTTGACATGCTTGAAAACTTGACCTTAACGAGTAAGTTCTGCTTTACTCTTTTTGCCCTGACAGAAGAAAACATTGAGATGCTGTGTGCTGCTTGCACACAACTTCATCACACGTTAGAGGAAGGAAACATGCTTGGAAACAGATTTAAGAGAAGAACTATTCTCCTGAAGACCCTGTATAAACTAGTTGATGTTGGTTCAGACTTGCTCAGCCTTAAACTTGCAAAAATTATCCTAGCAGTAAGTTTTTCTATCCTCTGGTCTTGTAGACTGTAGCACATAAAAGTTCTGTTTAATGCTTTATTTGTAAATATTACAACAAAGAATAGAAATGCAGTATGTTCATTTAGAACCTTGAAAAAAAAATTCAGGCGGTAAACTGACATCCCAGAATTTGATCAGAAAGTACTATCTAAGGAACTAAGGCTGAGGACAGAGAGAATGTTCAAAGTCTTACATATGGGCTGTGGCTAGGTTTAAAAAAAAATGACCGTAGATAAATGCACTCAAAACAGTTGCTGAAGTAACTTGACTAGAGATCAGTATCAGAGAGTGCAGACTGTGGTTTCTGGCCTGTGGCTTCTGCTGGGTGTTTGATTCTGTCATATGATTTAATAAATAACTTTAGATAACTCAGGCTGTGGACATAGTGGCCAGGTGCTTTATGAGCCCGCAAGAAACAGAAAAACAGCTGCCCAGTGTCATGGGAAGGTGGTCATAGAAGGCTCCTGTGAAGTGTTAGAAGAAAAGGCCAGCCACCAAATAAAAGTCTCTAGAAGCTCTGTCTCAAACAAAATGATCATTGTTTGAGTACAGCCCTTTGTTGTCACAGCCATTAACAGTTGGAACCAGAAGATAAGACACAATTATTAGAGAACGTTCTAAGAGAACCGTTAAAATGAATGAAGCTTTGTTTACCAAGTTTCATAAAAGTAAAAGCTATTATGTTAACACCCATAATTCATACAATTTAAAATCGTGAAGTACACAGTGAAGGTAAGCGTTGGCATCCTTACTAATAGTTCAGGAAGAATTCCCACTGTTCCTTATTTTGAAGTCTTTCCTAAAGCGGAATATTCTGTCTACATATTCTGTGCGATTTGCTGGAGAAGTACAATCTTATTTAGCTGCCATCCTAAACTCTTCACCCTCTTTGTAAAAATTGTGATATGATATGTGATGCAGAAAGCAACATTTCTTTGAAATAGCAATTTCAGTAGTATTTTAATCCCCTCTCATTGATGACAATTGATGAGTCAACTTTAATGAAACAGAAAGAGCATAAATCACAGGGAGTATTTAAAGTCAGAAGTTCTGAGTAGAGATGGAAAGATAACTACATGCTTGCCCAGTTCCTTCTCTGGCCCTGGATTTGGGGCGCCTCCTGGCCAGGGAGAGCCCCGTGGAGACTGGAGGACCCTACTGGTGTTGCTGCCCTGGACAAGACGCAAGTGGCCAGCTGCCCCAGGAATGCCTTTGTTTGTCATCTGGATCCTAGACATTTTGCTACATACCAAGCCCAAAAAATAAATAAACGAAAGAGAGAAAGAGAAAGAAAGAAGGAAGATGCCATGGATTCATTAATGCTTTGCAGAAAAAATAATATCTTGGTTATTAAAGGTACCATTTAAGTTAGTTATATACATGGCACAATTTAACTGTTTTAGGGCAAAGGGCTGAGTGATCAGCCAGGCAGTGAACACATTCTGAACAAAATCTGTGTTTAGATAAAGCCCTTTCCATGACACTGACCGCCTTGCTGAATCAGGGACAAGACTCTGCTAGGCTACAATCCGAGTGCAGAGATGGGCAGGCTTCCCCTTCTGAATAACTGTAGGACCATGAGTTTAGGAATGACCTTCAAGGCCATCAAGTCCAACTTCCCATCTGCCACCTGAAGCTCCTGTAATTCTCCACAAGACACTGTTTCCCTTAGACCTTGGTGATGGGGTTCTATGTAAATTTTAAAAAGAGCAACACCATAAAAAGCTTTTGAAGAAAACAAAAATTTGACAGAAAACTAAAGATATATGGAAGTAAAAAAATTTAATATTTATTTATCTACTGGTTTAATATTTAATAATTCAGACTTTAAAATTATTTATAGTTTAAAAATCCAGTGAGTGTAATGTTAATTGTTCTGATTTCTTGCACTCTTCTGTTAAGTGGTGGTTTGCCAGACAGCTACTTTCATTTTAACCTCTGTATCAAAAAAACTTACAAAAATATATTTGCCTATATTAAGATTTTTTTAGAGTACAAAAGATATACAGTGTGAATGCATCTAGGTTCAAGAGGGGAAGAAAATCTAGCATCCTATAAAGGGGGAAAAACAGAAAAAAAAATACCAGTATGTCAACAGTGATTATATATAGTAGCAGTGTTATGAGTGATTTTTAAACTTCTCTTTTGTTTAATTTTTCCAAATTTTCTTTAAATAGAATAAACTAGTATGTTTAATGTAGAAGTAAACCACCCCACTATAAGAACCTACTTGGTGCCAGGGACTCTTGACACTGGGAATACAAGTGAATAAGATCACCCCTGCCCTGGGGGCGGGCAGTGTAACGGGAGAGACGGAGAGTAAACACTTAAAACACCAGAGGGACTGCTGAGCGCTGTGGGAAGAAAATAAAGCAAAGTAAAGGGAACGCCCGTGTTGGGGGAAGTGCTGTTTTATGTAGGGGAGCCTACATTCCTTGCATATAATTCAATGTTTTATTTTCTTTTTATGTCTTAAAGTCATAAGTTTTGCAGTTGTCAAAAGACAAGGTATAGAAATTTGCTTGGAATGTAAACTGACCTCATAGCAGGCCTGGAAATGGTGGGTTTTGTTCTGTTTTGTTTTGTTTTTTATGAAAACTAACACAAGGTTTTTTGTTTTTTGTTTTTTGTTTTTTTCCTTTGCTACTTTTCACTAACAACATAAGACTTGCGTGAGGGGGTGAGGTTAGTTGTGTTCATTCATTTATTCAACTAGTTTCATTAAGTACATAGCACATGCTACATTCCACACATAAAAAGAGTAATGAATCATGGTTTTGACCTCAAAGGCTCACAGTGCAGTAGAAGATTGCCAATGGATTAAAATATATTCCTAAATATGAAGGACAGTATGTATTTCCATCGATACAGAATTTATTTTTCTTTCTAGTCAGCTTGTTTTCTGTGTTTTTAAACATTTTTTAAATAACTAATCATTAAAAACATTTTTTTAGGTTTCCATTTCCTTTTTTCATCCTGAGACCAGGAGAAATTTCCATCTTGCTTTGTGTGACAGTTTCTGAAACTTCCAGAACAGAACTTTTTAGACTTGAATGTGCACATGATCCCCTGGGAAAGTTGTTAAAATACAGATTCTTGTTCAGTAGGGCTGATGGGGCCTGAGATTCTTCTTTTTCTTTTTTTTTTTAAACATTTCTTATTTTTTCCTAATGGAGGTATTAGGGATTGAACCAAGGACCTCATGCATGCTGTGCGTACTAAGCATGCAGGTTATCACTGAGCTATACCCATCCTTTTCTGCAATTCTGCGTATCTAGTACACACCCAGGTGATGCCAAGGTGAGGTGATGTCATCTGTCTGAGGAACAGACTCCTCAGTTGCAAAATGGGAATGATTACACCTAATTTGCAGGGTTTATTCTGAGATGACATGGAAAGGGCCAGAGCAAAGGGGCAGACGGAAGCTGCTCCATGGATAATACTCCCCTACCTGTCTCCCTCCAGCTTGGGGCTGACCTTGGTCGCCTTGGTAACTCCTAGGCAGCGAACAGCACAGTGCCTGGTGCACAATATGAACTCAACAATATTTGTAGGTCAAATAAAGAATGAATCTTTTAAAAAACTATGTCTAGTAGAGGGAGGGTGTAGCTCAGTGGTAGAGTGCACACTTAGCATGCACAAGGTCCTGGGTTCAATTCCCAGTCCCTCCATTGAAATAAACAAAGAAACCTAACTACCTTCTCCCCCGCTCCACATCCCACCAAAAAGAGAGAGAAAATATACATCTGACAAATTCCATTATCATCTTTTTAAACTAGCTGAAAACTTATTAATAAACAATACTGAATATAATTTTAAGGATTCTTTTTAATGATAAAATAATGACCCATTTGCCATCCCTTTCACACAGATACATTTATCTGTTCAGACGACCTCATTCCTACAAATGTATTTTATACTTTTGCAATGAGGGTATGTAATATTTCCATCTTACAGCAGGTTATAAATGGTTTTTTATGCATACTGTTCACTGTTATACTTTTGTGATGGCTTAATATGAATACTATCAATGTTCCACAATTTCTTAAACTATTCCCAAATATTGGACATTAAGGATTTTTATTTTAAACTTTTACTACCTTAGATAAATATGCAGCTAATTTAGACCATTTGACTCAGTCCTCCCATACTGTGTGTGTTTTTTTAAAGAATATACTTGGAGACAATGCTTTGGGAAAGATCCCCCCTGCTCTCCTCACTTGCTGCAAATAATAATAGGTTCTTTCTTCTGGAAAAAAAAATGTTTTTAATACTTCCTTATTGCTTAATTTACTTGACTATTTTTCTGTGATTTAGAAAGTAATTTTAACCTTTGAATGTTACTTACGATTATCTCAAAGCATTCCAGAAATAGGATTAAATAATAAATACATACATATTATATAATCAGAGTGTTACTTTCAAATTTTCTTTTATGCAGATGATAAAAAGAATTGTACTTTCCCCCGTTACTATCTTCCCTTCACCTCCACGAGGTATTCTTTTCTAAATTAGATTAACTTGAAATTTTAGTATCCATCTTCCTTTACTTTTGTGTTTTAAAGCAATTACTCCATTTAATTAAATTTATCAACATCATCTCCCCTTTTTTCCCTCACAAAATACCTCTTTTAAAAATACGTAACAATTTCACATGTAAGCATGAGACTATGTAGTAAGAAATAGATGGCTTATCATTGAAATGTGCTTACTCGAAATATCATTTATATTGTATTTACTATAAATGAATTAATTAGATACCATAGTTGGCGACCAGTTGGCCAAAACTTTTGAAAGCTGATTTCTTTAGAACTTTATTTCTGATTTAAAGATACTCTCACTGCACTTTTTAAATTAGATGTTTGTGTTAAAATATTATGGCATGTCAAAACAATTATGGCATGTCTTTATTTCCTTCTGCAATAGCAAGGTGTTTTCTTTCTCTGCAGCTTAAAGTGAGCGGAAAAAATCTGCTTAATGTCTGCAAGCTTATATTTAAAATTAGCAGGAGTGAGAAAAATGATTCTCTGATTCAAAATGACAGCATTCTGGGTGAGTATTATGAATAGCACTACCATTGAACAAATGCCACTCTTGCGTATGAATGAAAAGTTTGGAGAGCAAAGTTATAAATAATGATAGCTGGAATATTTTATTTTCTCATAATATGCAGAAGTTAAGTGATGACTGTTTTTTATCCTTCTATATGTTTTCGACATTTCATTTAGCATATTCTTTGGAGCCTAGGAGGATAGTCTGCTCTTTTGTTTTTAAATGCGTATAGTAACACTATGTAACTCTACAAAGTGCTCCTTATTTAAAACTATATTTCCTGGTCTTGGATTTACTTTAGAAAACAATACATTTAATAGTGTTTGACATAATTGAAATTTTTGATCATTTGATACAGTAGGAATGGTTAAAACTTGGGAGACATCTGTAACTGTTGTAGAAATTTGACATCAAACTGTGCCAAATGTGTTTCAAATATGTAGGTAGAGAAACTGTATTACATTCTAACTACCAAGCTAATAATGTGTAATCTTTTATATACCCTTAAATAATTAAAATGCTTAAATAGTTACCTAAACAGAAATCTTTTATGAATTAGTATTGTTGATCTAAAGGAAGGCAGCAACATGGAAAATAATTCCTCTTTTTACAGCATAGGATAAGTGACCTTTCTTTCCTCCTTTCCTCCTTTCCTCCCTTCCTCTCTTTCTTTCTTTCTTTCTCTCTTTCCTTCCTTCCTTCTTTCCTTCTTCCTTCTTTCCTTCCTTCCTTCCTTCTTTCCTTCTCTCCTTTCCTCCTTTCTTCCTCACCCCAGCAGCCAGGGACAAAGCTAGTACTGAAAGAAATGTCTGATACTGAATCAGCTCATTGAGAATTATAGACTAAAAACAAAGACTCTGACAATCACATCAACATTAATAAAATCAAATGTGAGATAGACATGATTAACCTTATCAGAGTTGCCTCGATTACCTCTAAAACCTCATACTTATGTGTTGTTTGGATGGATGTTCTTCAGTTGTCTTGGGAAAGGGTGGTGGTTATATTCGAAGCATCCCTTTCTATGGTTGAAATTTTTTTTAAAGTTCCTGTCTTGATTAACTTCCCATTCATATAGCAACCAGTATATTCTTAAAAGTTTGTTGAAATTCAACTCTTAAATTGCTTTAATTATTAACTCTTCTGTTTGAAACCAAAAATAAAGAGTGGTAAATATTAGTCAGAATCAAGGAATGGCATTCAATTAAAGAACACTTTCTTATTACATATTAATAATCCCTTTTTCTGTCATTACTGTTACAGAGATCTGTCTTGGCTAAAAGTAACTTTTGTCTTTATACCATATAAGTAGCTCTTTACAAGCATTTAAATGTAATTTCTGGCTAACATTTTACAAATTGCATTTGATGTTGACATACAACTGCTTTAATCTCTCTCTCTCTCTCCAGCTATTCTCTCCTCTCATTCATTGTAATAATTCATCTTTTTGGCAGAATCATTATTGGAGGTCCTGAGAAGTGAAGGTCTGCAAGCTAACACGGAAGCTTTTTTATACTGTATGGGGGCGATCAAATTCATTTCTGGAAATCCAGGATTTCTTAATGAAATGATTGGCAAAGGTGCTGTGGAAATATTGCTGAATTTGATAAAGCAAATAAATGAGATCACTGAGAAATCTGGTACATGTTTGCCTAATTCAGGCCACTTGTTAGTCCAAGTAAGTATTTTACTCGAAAGGGTTAGATGGTAAAATTAGTTATGTTATCTAATATTACTTACCTGCCAGTTGGGTGTAACGGGTAATAGGTGAGCTGTTACCTACAGCCGAGTGGAGGTGCCCGGCCCTGGGGATCAGGGCAGCAGCCCTGGCCTTGCCTCTGCTCTGTATGTGCCCATTTCCCCTGGAAAAGCTATTCCGTGGCTTTTCATGGAGCAGGTCTCCAGCTTGTGGACACCCATTTCTGCTACCCTGCAGAGAAAGCAGGCCTGGAAGAATGAAAAAGTAGCACCTCTGCAAAACAATTGCATGTTATAATCAGAATTTTAACAGGCCTAATTTAACTCTAGAGTTTTGAAGACAGACCTGGCCTGGAGATTGTTTGTGATGATTGGTGGCTCATGTTATGAACCTTGTATCTACAGTAAAAAAAAAAAACAAAAAAAACAAGTTAATGACACTGAGTGGACAGTCGCTGAGGGTGTATGTGGACAGCATGCAGGCTAGAGGCTGCAGGAATGAAAGTGGCAAAAACAGGCACGTTTAGTATGACCGAGGCAGGAAGGAAAAATGTGTTCTGTGTTAGAGTTGTATTACTTCTTTTGCGGCAGATTAAATTTCATTGTCAAATTATTTTCATTGGAGCTATTTCAGTTCTCATATTCTTTAGATGAGATTTTACTCTAATAGCATTTGTATATCAGATAATATATCTTTGATATAATAATTCATGAGATTTGAAATGTGTTTGTCAATTAATGAGGGTTGATTGAGCACTCTGAGTGCTCAAAGCCTTGGGGAAAATGTGTTAAAAATTAGATCTAGGCCCTGCCTTGAAGATGTTTATGATGATTATTAATTTTGGACTTTATGGTCTGTCTCCATTTTGAAAAAGACTGTGAAAACCTCTCTTGGTCATGAATGATTCAAAATTCTACTTGGTGTGCACTTTTGGCACTTAAGAAACATGTTTTTTAATTTTATTTTTTTGTTTGGGGTTTTTTTGGGGGGAGGGTGGTAATTAGTTTTATTTATTTATTTATTGAACCCAGGACCTCGTGCATGCTAAGCATACACTCTACCACTGAGCTATACCCTCCCCCTAGAAACATTATTTTTATGCTGATGGTTTTATTGAGTTATTGAACTTCCTCCCTCAATGAAAATAGTTGTTTAGGTTATATAATTATTATATTTCTTGTTAAAATGTAAAAAAACAAAAAGCATGAAGAGTTTAAAAATTACCTGAACTATTTTCACCCTGAGATAATGCACCTCCAATGTTTGAGTAACCATTCTTCCATGCATTTTACATGTGTATGTATAATATATACTTACATATGTATAATTTTATATAATTCTTGCTTTTTATCTTGAACTTCTTATTTTTAATGGTTGTTTTCACTTGTTTTTCATTACCTTCTCTCAGTTGTTTCTCCTCCTTGCTCACACAGTTTGCCAACATTGCCTACATGGATGTGCTCAGCACCTTTTAATATACTCATAGGTTTTCAAAAATAAGATATTCTATACTTCTCTTTTCTCATTTAGCAATACATAGTAAAAACTTTATAGACTTATTTTATTCTTTTTATTGGCAGTATAATATTCATGATAAAAATATACCTCAAATGCTCAACCATTCTTCTATTGAGATACTCACTCTGCTTTTAATTTTTATGCAAAAGCTTCTAGAATTCTTGTCTGGTTCAAAAAATCTCATTAGCTCTTTCATATGTATATACAGTTGTCCCTCAGTATCCACAGGGGATTGGATCCTGGACCCATCACAGATACCAAATCCACAGAGGCTCAGGCCCTATACTCAGTCCTCCGTAGCTGCAGGTTCCACATCCATGGATTCACCCAACCTCAGGTGGATAACAGTTCACCATCCGTGGGTGCAGAACCTACAGATAGGAGGGCTGACTGTTATATGCATATACATTTATATATTTATATGTAGCTCATAAATTTGTATAAAAATTAAATGTAAAAATGTATTTCTTTATATATTTATTTTCTATTATGTTTATATATTATATGTAATATATAATATAACATATAATAATGATATATTATATTATTATTTATTTATATTATTTATATATAGTAAAAATATAGTATATAGATAAAATCAGTTGGTATAAAGGAGAATTGAGTATTATTGTGACCAAAAATATATCACATCCAGAGCTAGGACCTCTGGTATGCCTGTAAGAACAGCATGCTTCTCTCTGTGTTCTTCTCCTTCCCCTTTTCCCTCCCTTCAGCCTCCTTGAGTGGACTCACTAAGTCAGAAGCCCCTTTCCTGTCCCAGCATCCGTGTGTCCCTCTAGGGTGTGGTCGTGCAGGGCGCTGTAGTAACTCCCTCCTCACTGCCCACCACCGTTCCCCTGGCACTGTCATTGTCTCCAGAACCTTCCTGTGAACCTGCCTAGGGTGTGGCGTGGGTTGGGCCCCCGCATCCCTGCCCAGCAGGAGAAAGCGGGGCCCATTATTGCTGCCACCTGAGAACATGCTCCTGCCTTGTCACCAAGTGCCATCTGTGTCAACTGGACACTGTCACTATGTATGTGTGTTTAAATTTGCAGAATCCCGTGAACTGGACATTCCCTTGTGTTGAATTGAAACAAAGAAAAAGTATTTTGGGGTGGGGAGGGTATAGCTCAAATGGTAGAGCTCATGCTTAGCATACATGAGGTACCAGGTTCAATCCTCAGTACCTCCTCTAAAAATAAATAAACCTAATTACCTGCCCCCATGGGGAAAAAAAATAACTCTCAGAAGTTTAAAAAGTGTTTTGTATCATGTGAGCAATGTGGCTTCACTAGAATTACAGGTGCAAATTTCCACTCTTGTGTGTGTATCACACTAACTGGCTTTTCTCTAGCTCGTTCTTATGCACATTCAACCAAACAGATCTGGCCATGGGAAGAATTGTTCCATCACACCAGCTTTCAGGACCTGGTAACTCTAGCCCATGAGGCATTTTTTTTTAAAGCAACTTTGTTCAGTTGAAAAAGTAAATTATTTGTGGCTGTACTAACAGAATACTGTCTGGAAGCCAGAGAGAACATGGCAAGGCAAAAGAAAAAGGCAGAACTTTTTCTCCTTTGTGACTTTCAACTGAAGAATCTCAGTGGCTTTACCACCTATTATAAAATGTTGAATATTCTACCATCCAGCACAGCGCTGGAGTCATCCTATTCCCTAGAGCAGCCCTGCAGGAGGCAACTGAATGAGTGAAAAACATTTGAACCTGGACACTGAAGATTTTGTAGGATTTGGGAAACTGGGAACAAGGGGAAGGGATAAGGTGTGTTTGGGGGCTGCTGAAGAGGTAGATCTATGCAGAGCAGAGGGTTTTGTTGGGAGGAGTGGAATTCAGAGGCTACAGGCACGGGCTGGAATACCAGGCTGCCGGAGCGTGAACTTGGAGTAACACAGGGCAGTTGGAGGAAGGCGATGAGATCAGAGTGGCAGAAAGATAAATGTGCATGAGATATCAAACTGATAAAGACCAAAATGCTGAAATGTGACGGGAGGAGAGTGTGTCAGTGGTACAGACAGATTGGAGGGTTCAGATCTCACATACAGCAGCCCCAGTTTAAGAGGCGTTGCTGCAGTTATTAGATTTTAGATGGATTATAATGGAGATAAGAAATGGATGTGAAAGAAATCTCCACAGCATATGGGCCAGTGTTGCTCAGAGGAAGAAAAATGCTGAAGTGTTAAGATTTTTTAAGGTTTTCTCTGCTTTGTTTCTTACGTATGTATCTAGCATACACATACATATATGTTTATCACATCAAGAGACACTGATTTCACAAATGCTTGTGGAATGGCTGCTCCATGCCAGGTGTGTTCTGGGCGGTAAATAAGGCAGTGGAGGGCAAGATAGCTGCCCACAGAGGCTGACTTTTGGTGATACCCATGTCCAGATAACAGTTTTCTGGTGTCTTGTTCTTCTACAAAACCCTGGTGCTTCCACACATTCAGCACTGCATTCAGTTCTGCCTGCCACATGCTGAATAGCATTTTGAGAAGGTTGAGTGGATGATTGCTGATGCTCAGAGGAACTGAGGGGTCACCACCACTTTCCACCAAGTGGAAGTGTTAATACTCCTGGTCTGGCAAAACTAGGGATGGGAATTTGTCTGTAAAATCATAAGCATAAAGAAGGTTAGTCTGTGCATGATCACTAAATTCCAGAATGCTAGAATTTCAGGAGAGCTCTCTGAAACTTGGAAAAAGAGAAATACAGGCCAGCTAAAAGCAAGGCTCCCTAGATTCAAGCAGTAAATTACGTCCCCTAAGAAGGTGACATGGACGAAATAGGAGCTTGTCGATGTTAATCTCGCTGGATTATCAGGAAGTGTTAGGGTTCATTGCTGACTTGCAAAGCCCAGCAGTTGGGAGGGGGTAATACAGGAGCCGAGGAAAATTCCTGGAGTCACCTCCATCACAAAGTCTCTCATGGTTTCCATCACACTCCCTTTCTGGAGAAGGGAGAAGAGTCTTCTGGGTGCATCAGTCACAAGCAGACCCCAGTTCCCCTGGTATCTCGTTTGTCCTCTTGTGTCTTGAGGATGCTGTGTACAAAGCTGTTTTACCATAATTGAAGAAAACTTCAAGGTAACTGACATTGACAATGAGATGATTTACAGGTGTACCGTGTCACTATTAAACACAGATTAAGTGAATCTCTTTGCGTACACCTGAAACTAACATTGTAAATTGGCTACACCTCAATTAAAAACAAGAATTAAAAAAAACCCATGTTGACTTAAACTAACATTCCTATTTTTTTTTGATTTCTTTGTATTTCTTCTTTATGGCCTGATCCACTTGATTTTGAGTTCAATTCTTAAAGAAACGTATTCTTTCCCTGCTTCAGAGTTCACATTTTTGAAGTTAGAACTTTAGCACATCCCCAGGTAATGGGGTTTCTTTCCTTCCTCTTACACCTGTTTCCATTCTCTGGCCTCCGAGCCTGC